CCTGAATTAGTCTATGATTAAAATATGGTCTATGATAATATTCATTCCATGCTTGACTTTTTATTTTAAAAGTTTTTTTTTTTTATCAATTTTTCTCTTTTCCTACTAAATATAACTGATAATGACTAAGTGGGAATGTGATTTACATGTGAATAACCTTATTCATATGATTCGGTATTTTTTAACTTGCTCTTTTATTTTCCTTCTTCTCTAAAGTAATCCTCTCAGATATCATAGCATTTGCATGCATCTAGCATTTCTGTTGTTCTTTCCTTAAGAAGCTTCTGGTTTCACATTATCACTGGAAGAACAAGACCGCCACCAACTAGAGTACTCATGTTGAAGTTATTTATATAAAATCTAAAATTGGTATATTTTTATTTCACCATTTAACCATTATTTCACCATTAACAACATACAGTATCGGCTAGTTCTACTGGTTTTTGATCCATCTCTCCATAACTTGCCTGCATGTGACTAAAATAATGATTTGCATGAGATTTACAATATAAGTTCTTTAATAATAATAAAATATGCACAATTCTAAGTTCTAAGGCAAAAAAAAAAAAATCTAAAATATTATGGTTCCTAATAGAAAYGAAATTACATGGAACAATCATCATTTCATATCATTTCATATCAATAGAGCACTTTTGGTAAGGTATTACATTGCATCTGAGCTGTTTTAAGATTATTTTATTCCTTTCTGCATATATTAATAACTCTTTCACRAAGAAACTAAAAATGGTGTCAGAAAGTTTTCAGTATGCTGATTAAAAAATTATAGTAGCTTCTAACAAGAATGCATAATCAGTTGAAAAATATTTCAGAATTAAAATAAGCCTTACTTGAAGAAAACTGAAGAAAAAAACACTCTCAAAAAAAAAGCAAAAATATAAAGTTTTTAAAGTATGCTTCATCATTTTCCCACTAACAATTTCAAGTACTTTATTATACAAAAAGTCTTCCCGAAGCCTGCTCTGAAAAGCACTGCTGGACACCAATCTCAATTAATTCAAATGCAAATAAACCATAAGCGTCAACCTACTTCAAGCARTCAGCATCAACCTACTTCAAGCAATCAGCAGAAGTATTGTCAACTCTCTCTCATTTAACTCTTTAGAACTTGTTATTGTTTCAGGACTTGCACAAATCAGCAATAAAGCCAAATAACTCACCACGAATTTCACAGGACGTATGGTATAAAGAATGATTAACTAAATAGGGGTACTAATAAAATCTCTATGGYAATAAAGGTCAATAGCTGCATAAACAATGCCACCGAATAAAGCTAAAAAACAATAAGAAATACATAYTTTCAAGTAGTCTCCATACCTACTTTCTAGGACATTATGCCTGGCTGGGCCACAAAATTTTGACTGCTGAGTAGATTATATCACTCTGCTGCTACACACGGACACTAGATCCAGAGCTATCAATGACAAAAAGGCAATGGGAAACACTGGCAGTTGGGAATAGTTTCAAAATTTCTCTGATACACACAGAAATTTCCTTATCTGCATTGGCCCATCCTTACTGTTTTGACAAAATAAGAGCAGAATGAAGGAAGACATGTCTCTAATAAATGTAAATACTAAAAAAAGAACCTACCTAATAGGAACAAGGACCTTGCAACTAGAGATTATTCAATTAACACAAATTCCAGAAAAAAAAAGTCTTTAGGAAATCAGCCAAAAGAGACATGTAGGTTTGATCCCTGCTGAAGACAGGACTGCATTCCTCGAATAGTTGTAAGCTCTGTTCCTAAGTGGAGCTGTTAAAGGAAGTTRCAGGCAATACTGTTTTCAAAGGTGCTGGAAAACCACAACTCTCATTTAAACAACAGCTTTCAGAATATCTCTCTATTGTAGAGGACRGCAAACTTGACAAAGTTTCAACTGACTCTACTTTTATTAATATAAAAGAGCATTCATTGTYTTTCTGTCTATCAAAAGGCAAGAAAATGCACACTGTATTAAATATGTATAATATCCTATGTAAACAAGTTCCCAACCTTTTCATTTGTTGACAGCTATTCCCTATGCATCAACAAATGCTTGAAACATGAAGCAGACTTAAATTGATTTTCAAAAACTTGCTAACTTATTTGCTTTGCTTTAAAATTATGTAACATTATAAACCAAACCACACGGAATTACTATTTTCTCACTTGCTCTTACTTAGAAAAACTGAAAAACATTATTCCCCTTTGTGCCACTCATTCACTCTTGGGATGTTTGATGTCATCCACTGTCCCATGATATTTGCCAGTCTGGAAAAATACTGAGAAATGGCAACATAAGTTTCATTTGGCCTTTTAGCTTTGAAAGTTTTAAGTCAAATTTAGAACTCTTAAAGGGCAGAGCTRTATGTATTGGAGTTCACCTTTTTACCTAAAATCAAGTATAGTGTTGCTTTTGTATACTGTATCATAAGAATTGTACATTCTCAAGGAATCAAGGAAGAGGTACATACAATCTACTTTCTAGAAGACACTATGCAAAACAATAGCTTAGAGCTATGTATATCCCAAGGGAATAAATTTATCCCAAGGGAAAAAGTTGATGCAATACATGTTATTATAACACTCACTTTCTTCAATATGAAACAACTTTATTTTTCTTTAAGCACTCACTGATGGTGACTGGATAAGCTCACAAAGGAAACAACCTGATGAGTAAGCATAATTAGGTAAAGGTGGTAGACCTCTAGAACTGAGCAACATAACATTTTTGATCAGTAATATTTGCTATCAACAGCTATTCCAGCTAGTAGCTGAGCACAAGCTTAACTGAAATACTACAGATACATTGATATCATCAATAACTGTATGCTCACATGTGCACCCACGTGCATGGTGGAGTAAGTAGGRCCTACTGGTTAAACAGGGGGGAGTTGGCTGAATAATGGGGTTGTTTTTGATAACATTCATCCTTGAAATTTCATTAGATTTGTAATGAGTTATTTAATCAGGTAATCATCATTGAATTTTCTTCAACTTTTGAATATAATTTTCGAAGTTCTGGAAACTTCGCACAATACAATCACACCGTTTCCAGTATACAAATACGCCAGGAGAAAAAAAGAAGAAATGATTATTGCTGAAGACAGACTTTTTCTCATTACAACAGCTAAAATGGTTATGGACTACAGTACATCTCACATACATATACATACATTCCTTTAGAAAACCATTTTACTGGAACATAGCAATGCCATTTTACTTCCTTGAGAGTCTGTATAACATTTTGTAAAACTCCATTTTTAAAAGCGATTAATGCAATAAGGTAACATATAACATAAACCAAGATGAAACATTCAAAATGGAAAGATATAGTCAAATGTAAGGTATAAAAGTGGAAAATTGATTAAATAACAGTACTAAAGTACTGTTATTTAAAATATTAACTGTTTCAAACAAACTAATATTCATGTCAATGACACATGATAGGACCTGTCCTAACCAATGAGTAAACTGCTCGTGAAGGTTTAGAGCCACTGTGAGCACTGTATAATAAATTYTTTCACTACTGTTTGAAGAGAGTAAGATGATAGCTGCTTTCTAATTATTAAGAATATATAATAAATCAGCTATATTTCTGTATTTCCTAATTCTACTTAAATTTAATTAAAGCTTTAGCATTCTAAACTGCTCCCTCCTGAATTTGCTTGCCTTCAACTTTACTCCTCAGTATTTCCGAACTATTACTGGATGATTCTCTTTATATTCCGTCTGATAAACATATTCAGTGAAAGCACCCCACTTCAACATGAAATGAAGAATACAGGGATAAACAAGAGAGAGTTTAAGGCTCTCCTTTGATCACTTCACACCCCCACCAAACGATGCTGTAGCACCTCACCTGCTTACAGTTACTCCAGCCGCTAGCACTTGCACACAGCAGCTATGCAAAGCAGCAAATCTCTTTTCAGTCTCCTTCCAAGGAGAATTTGCCAGCGCCGCTGGAGTACAAAGCCCTGAGGCTGCGTGGTGAGGAGCCCATTAGTCCGCCCGCTCCGCTCGGTCTCGGCGGCGGCCCAGGCTGCCAGCAGCAGCACCGCGTGCCCTTGGGGAGCCCAGCCGCCCTGCTCGGAGCCGGCCCTGCCTGTGCAGGACTYGGGAGTCGCAGGGGCGGCCCAAAGCCCCTGCACGGAGCAGAGCGCTCGCCAGAGGTTTAATGCAGCCGAAAGAGGCAGGCACGTCGCCTGCCCACGCTCCCCAGCTCCGTTCAATTCCCCACAGCAGCGCTCCCATCCCGCAGCAAAACGCGGAGCTATTAAAGCAGAGAACCGCGTCCGCCTCTGCTCGCAGCCCGGAGGAAGGCCCGGCCGCCGTGGCTAGCGGAGCAAAGAGCCCACAACTTTCCCACATCAGGCACGGCCCATCGCACGCGCTGACCTTGGGGGCCGAGGGGAGGCTGAGCCCTTCCCAAAGACCTTGCCGGCTCCCAAGTTCGCCTCGCCACCGTGTGACGCTGAGAACCAAGCGCTCCCAGGTACCGCCGTCCCTCTGGCACGCGCTGGCACACAGAGCCGCATGAGGCTTTTTTTTTTTTTTTTAATCCCTTTTAATTCCCGCTTTGCTCCCTACTTCCCAGAATGACCTTACATACCCCTTCTTCGCCCAGACAGGATCAACTAGAGCTTTTCTGGTTCCCCTGAAAGACCGGTGCTTATACAAAGTAGCTTCTGTAGCATCTCTTAGTATCGTTTCAAAACACTGTGAGATTTCTGTAACAGAGTATTTCCAGGCATTCAAGCAGCATCCAGAGAGCAAGTTTACCACAAAAATACAGCCGCTAAGTTCTCATTCGAGATTGCCCTCTTGCTTCCGAGCTCGCTCTGCTCAAAGCCACTCGCACCTTTCTTGAGCGCTGCCCCTCCGCTGACCCAAGCACGAGCAAGCTCCCAACTTTGCTCTGCCAGCCCCCGCTCCTCGCTCTGCTACCCGCGATTCATCCATAGGAATCAACCAGAAAATGACGTTAACAGCCGCTTACCTGATCCGAGAGTCGCTAAAGTCCCCAAGAAGAGAAAAAKGAAGCAGTTTAAGAGCACGCCGCCGGCTCCTCCGGTGCAAGAGGGGCACTTCTTTGTGTGGCCGGGCGAGGAGGGGCGGCGGGCGCGACCCGGCGGCTCCGGAGCAAACTGGGCGCGAACCGCGGCGCCTCCGCGGGGGCTGCGCGCCCGCGCCCGGCGCTGCGCGGCGGCTCCT